GCGGGTTTCTTGTTCATTCCTCCGTTGAGACCCTTAATTCCAAGGAACTCCTGACAAGGAACTTCTAGGTTTGTTTCTCTGTCTGAATTTAGGGCCTATATAAGTCCTTGAATTTAGGAAAACAGGAAATGGGTTATTCGATTAGCGCTGTGTTTGCTAAAACTGCACACAAATACGGGAAGCTTGTGACGAGATGCTATCTTGACTCACTGCGGTGCCTTTAGCGCACGTTTTCCGGCGACAAAAACTGTCACCTCGTGCGGTTACTGGCAGCTGCCCTGTGGTTGAGGATGAGCTACCTATGCTGAAAGGATGTCCATCTGGCGGTCACCAATCCTCAACCACAAGGTCGTCAGAGATGGACCGACGTCCTCCGGGGCTCGGAGGGTTGTGGGGACAGTGGAGGAGTTCCGCATAGTTGGCAGCTTCTGGCGGATGTGTGGAAGGTCGCTCGTGCAAGGCTTATTGACATGACCCATTTGAAGTCAATGCCATCTTCAGAACCAACGGTGGATAAGATCTGGGATTAATTCGGGACGGTTACTTACCATAAGACAGTTCATTGCTCATGTGATTCAAAATAATCTCCCCTGCAATGCCTCTAGACGAAGATGACGCATTCCTTTCTCTTTCAGTTTGACTGATGTTGCTTTGCCCTCGAATTGATTTATTGTTTGATTGATTCCTGATACGCATTTATAGGTGCCTTGGGAACGACAACCTCGATGGCATGATCTATAATGATTCCATTGAGGTTTGAAAGGAAATTTATCTGGTTGTATCCAGTTTCTCTACACGCCAAATAACGTTTACGTCCATAGACGTATGCCCTGCATATTTCGAACCGACAAGGAACTGATGCCAAGCACATGTTGCAAGGTTGCATGTTGCGAGACGGTGATTGTGCGGGCCATCTGGCTCAGTGCCAATGGAGAACGGAACATGACCGTTCACTGCCACTGAGGCACTCATAGGAGGCAGCGCACGTGGCATGTATTTCCACAGTCGGTTTCACAACACCCGCTGCCTGCCTGCCTGCTGCCGCACTCGGGAACATGCTAAGATACAACGGAGTTCGCCAAGGTACAGCTTCATTCGCCAAGGTACTAGCTACGCGTTATTCAGAAACGCTAGCGATAGTCTTATGCGTATAGGGGTACCCTTGTAACAAGATTCCTCAATCAATTGGGAATGACTTGTCTAACGTTTGCTTAAAATTCCGGCTAGTGACATTCAGTCCAAGTGACATCCTCTAGAAATAGGTTGGCTAATTTACATATCATGCTCCTTTAGGAGCCAGTGGTCTCATTTGGGAGCCATGTTCAATGACGCTGGACCATGTATTTCGTGTCACATTGGTGGAATATCCCCAAGGCCATCCACCGGTTTTTGTCCTGGTATGCGATAGTTCAAGGTAGCTGGAGGACATCATTAGACGCATAAGACGCAGCTAATGATGTGGTGATATGGAGTTGCCATGGGGACAACCAGAGACGAACAGAGACGAACTTTTCTATAGATTTTCCCTATATGGAAAATGCAAAGAAAAAATCGTAGATCAGCACATCCAAAACCGTTTATCCACATAGGTACAGTTAATGATGTTAAAAAGTCAGAAAGTCGGAACCCCTTGCAATACGACATTTATAACGAAAAGAGCCGAGTCACTTGCCATATAGCTTATAGACCTCTCATTGAGAGTAGTTAGATTACTCGTGCAACGTGTAAATGCATGCGTTTTCTCTTCGTGTAAGGGCAGGGTATACATATAGTCAGGGGAAGTACTCTTGAGGCGACCAGAGGTATGTTTCTCCTCAGAGAAAGTGTGGAACACGGGACGATGAGTTGAAATCAGAATACTTTAATGTGCAGTTCTGCATCCGGAAGGCCGTGCTCGTGACATTTTTCCAGTTCTTTATTTTGACTCCAGCCGTTTGTAATTATTTAGTTTAAATTTGGTGACTCGGGAGTTATGCCATTAAATGAAATTCCGAACGTCAGCGATTTTAACCCGCGCCCTGCTGGGGGTCCTGGATTTCCACGCCCTGCTGGGGGGGGGGGGGTGTTTGAACACCCCCCCCCCCTTGTAACTCGGCTCCTGGGCCACGTAGCGATACGCGGAAGGCGGCGTTCGAAAGAGCGTAAAAAATAATGACGAAATCACTTCGGTCAATTATTGGTCAGGTCAAAGGTCAGGTCACCAGAGGTCATTGAAGGCTAAATTTCGCCGATTTCCAGGTCGAATGTCGAAAACTTCCAAGAAGCCAACGCATAACTCGGGAACCAATAGAGCTACAGCGCCGCGGAAAAGTGCATTCGATAGCCCTTTTAATGCCCTTTCTGACTAATTCTCTCAGATTTGACCTAACGTCAACGGTTTTGCCTGCAGGGGGCAAAAACTGCAAAAATAGCCGATTTTTTCGGAAACAGTTTTTCTGCAATAACTTTTGACCCAAGCCTTGTACGAGCTTACTTTCACCGGCATCGTGTTCCTCTCGTCAAGACGCATCGAATGAACTATAACTTGACCTTGAAAGGTCAACTTGAAAATTTGACCTCAGGTCAAGGTCATGACCTGACCGGAAAGGGTCATGTTGCATATCAGTCGATCCGTATCGTCGAGCTGAACACATATAAGGCATTTTCATCGCTCTAGCATGCCTCTATCAAAAGTTATTTGCGAAAAACTGTTAGATACCATTCGTGACCTAAGATGACCTCAGGGCATACACAAGGGTCACGGACACCATTTTCATGTTCAGTGTGTCTAAACCACTTGTAATTCGGTGTTTGGGAGTGTTTATAATGTCTTTCGTCCAAAAGAGACGCATTTCAATTTTCTCCCATTGACTTAAAATGGGGAGGTCGCAAAATTGACCTGACCTTAGGTCAACGATATCAAAATTCTGAGATATACATGTTGTACATGCTATTGCTCTTAGCAATCGCTGAAAGTTTCAAAGCGATCGGTCACTCGGTGTAGCTATGACAGACATTGAAACATTTTATGAGGTGAGGTCACTTCAAGTGACCTGGTGACCTGACCTTGAATGACCTTGGTCTGAAATTTTCACAACATGTGTAGAATTGATGTATGATAAGGTGTATAAAAAACGGCGGCGCTCCGCGCCGCCGTTTTTGAGATATTCGCGAAAAACCACAAGGGGGGGGGGTGTTCAAACACCCCCCCCAGCAGGGCGCGGGTTAAGATCGATATAATTGCAAACGTTACTCATTTTTACACTGACGGAGGCGGAGCTAGAAACGCACAAAATAGAAAATGGTGAATTCTGGTCTTAATTTGATATATTTCGAAGTTCTGATGTTCTTCCATTTTCTTTGTATCGTTATGAGCGGCAATTCGCTGTCTGCTTTTTCAGTTTTCCTCAGGACAACCGCTTTTTGTCAGCAGAGCAGTTGTGTTTCACCCTGTCGAGACTGACGGTAATATCATTGGCAGATATATGCGATATGCTCGTTTTTCCCCGTTGGAGAGGCAAAAAGGGGTTATTCGGCAGCTAATCCTAAGGACAGGAGTGCTTCTTTTGATAACTCTCAGTAGTGTAAGGCTACCTGCCAATATATACACGTCGGAAGCTGTTCAGGAGGAAAAACTGATAGACTGTCAGCACCCAAGGTGTACGCCGTGTGGGCGTGCACATGGATAAAGCCTTTTAGATAAATATTAATCTGTCACTTTGAGGGGAAATATAGAAAGGCACTTGTCCCTAGGAAACATAACCCAGTTACGTGCGTCGTAGATTTTTGGTAAAAGTGAATCTTGTTATTCATCCCAGTCCTTGTCTTTATCATATCCATCGTATTTTTGTCAGCAGTCATCAAGCTGATGGGTGAATGTAAAGGCAAATATTTTTTTCTTGAACAACACAACAATGCTCAATAGCAGACATATGAGCCCATCTGTTTTGACTCCTCTGATCTGAGTTGTTTTTGGCCCATCATCATTTGGGCGATGCGCAAACTGTTGTTTGCAGCTGATATCCCATTGTCCTCAGCTAAGATGAGTGTGTTTGTACGAGTAATACAATGGCGATCATCCCAGTCTGACGTCCATACAGGGTCAAATGGATGGTAGCAAAATGTGCAGAGCGCCCACAGCTTGTTACATGACCGTTGAATGCGCACCTTTAATCGGCATGACTGCAAATTTGGAGCTGTTAACGCGAATTAACTGCTACGATCGAATCGCTATAATTGCTGCTTTGTCCGGTCTTGCTGCATTGTTCTGCTCATCAACGCCACATCAGGAAAATAATGAGAAATGCGATTTACGGAGCAAATGTGTCGGTTCTGCATATGCCGCACATTTCTGGCATGCCATTGATGTCATCAATAGCTTATAACACTATTCGATGGATTTGTGTTTTCTATTGATGAAAACAAAGCTCAGTTTTCAGACAATTTAGCAAAAGCTGCCTGAGACTAGCAGCATTGATCTTATTTTGTCTTACTCTTATGTAAGCTGGCAGATTTTGTTTTGACGTAGTCATCTCACGCGCACATAACATCTTCCGTCTTCGAACGCGGAAGTGGTTCCTCAAAAACAATCCTTCACCGGCGCGAGGGGGTAAACAAGGTAGTAACACCCACCCTAACCATGCCAACAAAATACACTGCACCCGTCCAAGTGGATTCCTGCGTTCATTCCCTTTATACTTGTTGCTGGCGGCACGCACAATGTCTTTGTTTGTTTTGTTTTTGCTTTTTTGCACAATCGTATCTGTTGTATTCGTCGATAGCGTCGTATCTGTAACTGTTCACAGATGTCAGTCCGGTTCTCGACGGATGCTCGTGTGATCCTGTTTGTGGACATCGTTTCTTCACAATTGTTTACGTTCACAATTGCCGACTTGTTTACGTTCATGAAAACTGGTGTGCTTATGTTAACGAACTTAACCGTATCCGTTCAAACTTTTCGATCGTATGTTTTCTTCCCAATCCGAGCTGGAAATGCTAACTCGAAAATCTTGTGTTCGCAGCCGGCTAGTTCTGCTGGCGTTGTGCGCATGCGCAGTGGTCAGCGGCTCGGAGCACCACGTGCACGTGCATTTTGACGAGAGCGAGGTGGAGAATGCCATCAACGTCGCGGCCGCGCGGGTGAAAACCCAGCTGGAGAGGAGCCGGGACTCAGGTGAGTGGGGCATGAGGGCCGGAGGGGAAGGCGAGAAGATGAGTGCCCTATCTTTCGTGGTGGAGAAAGAAAATGACAGAGTTAAGACACGTTGACATTAGGCCATCAATCTAGCATAAATGCCTTAAAAAGAAGGAAAAATTCCTGACGCCCTTGGTAGGTATAGATAGGGCTTTGGAAACTTAGATTAACAAATCGCAGCATTCTCCAAAGAAATTAGAAAACCTCGACTCTCGAGTGATATCAACATCTTGAGAAGCCAAGTTATGACATGGTGACGAGTACATATAATCTGGGATTCATCCAGATTTTTGATAAAATTTCTTTTCCAAGGGCAGAGGCCGAATTCCATTCGTTCTCGGTTCGATGGCTAAAGCAGCTTTGCACGTGCACACTGCACAAACACTCAACCTCTCCACCACATCGTACCATTCCAGGAACGCGTGAAGTTATGCATTACAAGTCACAACATGGAGCTATGAGGCGTCTTCCAACCAGATTAGATACTGCTGTCACACTCGATTAGATTATCTCGCAGTCGCACTACCACACAAAACCCAAACACACCATCACATATTGTCAAATGGCGTCGTCACGTCAGCTCAACAGCCCCGTCATGTATAAGCAATCACACCCTTTCAGTAACCCCGTCACACTTGGTTAGATTGTTGTAGCACACGGTCAGACGCTGAAGCAATCACACCCTTTCAGTAACCCTCGCCGCGTGCCTTCGGGCACGGAACTAAACTCGACGGGACCCAGAGACGTTACGCCACCCCTCTGTTCCACTCTCCTGTTGGCTGGGTGCCGAGGGACTGTCCGGGACCCCGAGGGCTCTTGGGTCCAGGATCCTGGGTCCAGGGTCCTGGATTGTGGGTCCCGCGTTCGGCTCCGGGGTCCGGTGGGTGGGGTAGTGGTGTTTGCGGTGTGAAGAAAGTGACAGCGAACGGGCGACGCCCCGGAGGATGGTGGCGGGAGCGACTTCGGTCGGTCAGGAGGTGAAGGGGCCTGGGATGAGGTAGCCCAGGTCGGCTTAGGAAATGTCAAAGTCTGAGGCAGATGGGTCGCTTAGTTTGGGAGGCAGTTCGGGAAGGATGTGTCCTTTCGTAGTATCAGGCATTGTGAGAGGTATTGAAATTATCCACTGAAATATATCATGCGAGGGAGGTCAGTAGGTAATCAGGTCAAGCACAAAAGGTTACACATCGTCAGCCGTTCAAGTCACTTCGTCAGCCATGGTGTTTCAACATTGTGCAAAGCTGGTGCAACAAAGCTCGCTGTGTCAACCGCTTCAAATGTAAATAATACCAAGCTAAACAACCACCAAACCATTTGGATTACCGTGCAGCCTCACGCGCCCCGTTCCAGTCCTAAATCTTCGCTGTCAAGCGCACTCTTTGGCTCTGCACTTCAACTCCGCCTCTTTGGCTCTCTGCCAAGTGGTCCGCCCCACTCTAGGACCGCTTGTGTGACGTCACACCAACTCTCTACAGCTGTTGCCACGCGGCTAACGATCTCTGGAGACCATAACGACGCTCACACCGCAGACCATCGGCAAGGACGTGGTTTCCTTGTCTGGATTCTCATCCAAATCCTTTGTAAGATCACGAAAAACCAATGCCCTAAAATTTAATCACCTCACTAGAGAAGGAAAAACTTCACCAGAGCTGTCGTTCGCTCAGTTTCGCTTCAAACAAGTCCATCTCGCACGCGCAGTGGTCGTTTCCATTCCCTCATTGTGGGCTTTTTCAGGTCGTCTTCCAGTAATCCCTTCGTACCCTGTCCGTCTACAGTTTTCCCCACACGAAGGAGCCCGGAAGGTGCGGCTGAGCTATAATCACCGTACGCAGAGAGAGTTCTCTCAACGACCTTGTCGATACACCTTACCGGGGGTGAAGGACGTTAGTGGGCTACGCACACGCGCTCTCCGGCGCCAACTGGCGGATGCCTCTGTCGCCTGGGGTCAGAGCGGCGCATAGGCGCCACTTTCGCCGCAACGGCTGCCAAGGCGGCGAGGAGTGGCGCACCGACTGCGGCGGAGATGTGAGTTTGGTGAGATGAGATGGAGCGAAGGTAGTATGGGCGAAGTCGGGGTGGAGCGAATTGTCGGGACATTACACACGTGGAGGTGGGATTAATAGCACGCAAAGACGAAGTGAATCACTATTTACAGGGGGTCATTTGTGAGCGTCTAGCCCACCTAGCGAAATTGGGCAATAGGCATTGATACACCTTTTTGGGGTATAAAATGCCTCATTTCGTCAGTTATAACCAAGTTTAACTACTCTTCCATAGTGGGTTTTCAATGTCAGACGTTGAATAGAAGACATTACGGGTATAGAAATACGGTATCCACTTGTAAACTGAACGCTCGTAATAGAACATGAAATTACGCCTTTGTTCGCCAGAATATAAATGTCGCCATTTACGTCTGGATGATGAGTGATGACGCAAGGCACTTAATTCCTAACTTTTGTCTATACGGTACAAGTCACTTCTTGAGCTGAAAGACGCTGTCTGGCAGCATAAAGCGAACATCCGCGACCTTGCCGTTTCTATAAACAAAGCAAGGACGAACCTCATACGATGAGATTCATCATCAAAGGACCCGCTCGCTTGTGCTAGAGCGTATACAGACTCCATCGAAAATTGGCGCGACGGCGGGAGAAAGGGCGCCAATGGCGGTCGCCCCCGCCAAGGCCGTCGACTGGCGCCAGAAAACGCCCCCGACGACAAGAGCATTTGCATCTGAAAACGTCGCTGTCACTCAGCCCCGAGGAATCTGCGTATCGGCACCTCTTGCACCTTGCAGCCTGGGCCTTGGGGCATCCTCGACTCTACATAGACAGAAGAAGGATTAAAAGTGAGATGACAGAAGTTTGTGATGCTGGATAAAAGGGAGTAACCGACGGGAGGTGTGCAGAAGATGGGACAGAAAGAGCTCGTGAAACATTCATCGCAGAGCAGTAAGGGCCAAGGGGTCCATCAAGAGGATTTATACTCACTGGCTCGCTCAGTCTTGTTACCTCTTGCCACGGTATTTGGTGCCATACCATAGTACAGTATCTTGTTCCTTGTTGCCTCTCTGCTCCCGTCCGAAGGCTCCAAATCGCAGCGGCGGCGACAGCGGCGACCAAACGGCGACCCGGCGGCGGTCCAGTTACGCAAAGGAGAAACGTCCGCCGACCGAGCGAGCGAAGCTGTCGGTTGGCGTGGAGAACTTTCTCGGCCGCCATCGAGGGCCTATCGGGCGACTGGCGGCGACTTATCCCACCACGGCGGCTGGTGCTACCTACTCTAATCGAGAGTAATGTCTTCGAGACCGGTGTGTGGAAACGTAATTTACGGGAACTTGTAACCAATAAATATGTTAATGTGATGGTCGGATTTTCCCGCAGGCTCAGGTACTGGACGGGTGCAGAGCTAGTGGCTCAGTAGTGCGCTTTTGACCCAGGGCATAGTTTTGTCACGGTTACAGCCCTCTCTTTCCCCTTATCTCCATTTTCTTCAAATGTTTTATCTCTCTCCCTCTCCCTCTCCCTCCCTCCCGCTATGCAAGAGGGCGGATAATTTTTTCTCTCTCTCTCTTATTCCCTTGCTCTGTCCTGCCTGGAGTCACCCATCTGTGCCGGTGTCTTAATGCCTACAAAGTCGTCCCTTTCCCAAGTTTTATATGTAGCTATACCAACCCTGCCTCCCCTCTGTTCCGTCCATGGCTTCGCCCCTGCGCTTTGTGACGCATATATGTAGCTATACCAACCCTGCCTCCCCTCTGTTCCGTCCATGGCTTCGCCCCTGCGCTTTGTGACGCAATCACACTTGATGACGTCATCCATGGCGGCAGTCTGAGCCCAGTCCCGTCACGCTGTTACTAGAGCGTCGGAAGCAAGGGGCACGTGACCAAGTGACGACACCACCGCTGGGGCACGTGACTCCATGGCGACACAACGCCTCAAACCACGTGACTTCGTGAGACTGCAACATTCGAAACACGTGACCACGCGCGGAAAAGAGCTTTCGATGTGGGAAGGTCGTCGTTCTATTTTGATGGTCTCGGAGCGTCGGGATTCGGGAAGCTCAGCTGTTTATTTGTTTTGTTGGAGATCTGGTTTTGATGTTCAAGTTCCGTATCCACTTTTCATAGCCGGAATATCACTACTTTCCAGTTGCTATGCTATCTTCCTATCTAGATATTTACAATTAACATCACACTATCCCGAATGCATTGTTACAAAGTGGCCATCTTTGTTCTGTTTGTTATCATTTGTCCATAAAGCACAACAGATGATTGGCAGATAATATTCAGAAGCAACTGCGTGAAGTCACGTTCTCCCTTGCATGGGTGAATCCGGAAACTATTCTCACCGGTCATGCCAACTTGTGAGTTTTACGCTCCGCCTGATTTCACGCAATTTCTATTTCGCATAGACGATATCCTTTCTCATAGCTTCTTTGTGAATAGCAATTATTTCATAGCGAAGATCGACCTGACTGCATGTTATCATATTTATTTTAACTGTGGTGAAGGGATACGCCACATTTGGTCTTCACAAGGGCTTGCCATGTCGCCTACTATGTTTTCGGCTGACGAACTGGTAATCGGCCTCCGGGTTTCACGGTCAAAGACCCAGCCAATGCATTCAAACATTGCGGCTTCCGGAAGCCAAGCGTGGCCGAGCGTAAAAGACGGCGTTTTGTTGCAACGGACCATGGAACTTGAGCTTTACTTTCCTCGCTTTTCCTGTGGTGCAGAAATGCTGCACGAATCTTCCGGCCATCTTGTGACCAGGTGATAGGCAAAGTGCTACCAGGTGCCATACGAAGTGGATGAGCTGCCAGATTGCAAGGATGTGACTGCAAGTTTGTCCTAATCTAGATTTTGGAAGATGCCATGCCGTGCTTCGCTGATCGTTTGTGATGGCTTTTCACTTCTTAGTTATCAACAGAAGGCGCCCAAAAAGTGTGGTGATTGGTGCAAGCTGCAACATAACCCGAATTCC